AGATGGTCCAGCGCTCGGCAGCCAGGTTGCTAACGGGAGCGGCACTCAGGGAGCATACCACTCCTCTGCTGAGCCAGCTCCACTGGCTGCCAATCCGCTACCGGGCACAATTCAAGGTGCTGGCTTTAGCCTATAAAGCCCTAAACGGTTCTGGCCCCACTTACCTCTCCGAACGCATCTCCACCTATGAACCGACTAGAACATTAAGATCGTCTGGGGAGGCCCTGCTCTCGATCCCGCCTACGTCACAGGCGCGCTTGGCGGGGACGAGAGACAGGGCCTTCTCAGTGGTGGCCCCTCGGCTATGGAATGCCTTACCGGCAAACATCAGACAGGCACCTTCATTGCTGACGTTTCGGAGAATGGTTAAGACCTGGCTTTATGAACAAGCGTTTGGTTAAGCAGTGCAACCAATCCAAGGAAGATGGTAAATGGAACATAGGAATGGCACAATGATTATGAGAACGGATCTGATTCAACTGAGGCGTTATGTTATGTTGTTTTGCTGATTTGTCTTGTTTGGTTGCTAATTGTTGTGGATTGATGTTGTTGATCCTGTTGTTGCATTGCTATGTTTTAATTGCACTGACACTGTTTGATAATTGTACCATGTAAACCGCATTGAGTCGCCTGTTTGGGCTGAAAAATGCGGTATAGAAATAAAGCAAATAAATAAATAAAGCATCCTCAGAGGTAGTGAGGTCTGTTGGAACTAGGAAATCTGTGGAATGACCAGGGTGGGACAAAGGACTCTTGTCTGCTGGAGCTAGGTGTGAATGTTTCAACTGACCATCTTTATTAGCATATAATGTCCTGACAGTGCCTGGAGAAAACTTTTGTTGAGAGGTTAAAACAATTATATGCTTGCCATAGATGCAGGTGAAATGTCAGACCATGGCCATATAGCCCGAAAAAACCTACAACGACCCATTTATTCCCTGGTTGAAAAGAAGAAGAGGTTGAGAACTGCCATTGGAAAGAACAACAAACCAATAGGAATGCAATAGTCATCTGGTATTCAGCATCTCAAAGTGTTGTGAAGGAATTACTTTGTGTTGAAAATAAGTTTCTGACTGACAGAACACTTTGCGATTTTGAGGCCCCTTCTGCACTGCCATATAAAATCCAGATATCTGCTTTGAACTGGATTATACGGCAGTGTAGACTCAGATAATCCAGTTCAAAGGAGATAATATGGATTATCTGCTTTGATTATCTGAATTATAAATTGCTCGTATTTCTCAGGGATTGGCGTGACCAATATAATCATGTCATCTAACATGTCAGAGAATTTAGTCCAATCTGCCTTTCTGAAGTTGAATCTTCGTTTAAATCGAACTTCCTGAGGCCTTATTGTTGGTAACAGTTGGCATACTATTGCTCGGTGCTGTGTATTTGGGATTGGTGGTCCCACTGATTTAGTGCATTGCTGTACAATGCTATCGCTCACAAATAAGAGGTCTGGGATATATCCTTGGTGCCATCTCCCGCTGTTGTAGGATGGTGGGAGCTTACTGTCATGGATGAGTGATAGTTTGTGCAGTTCAGACCAGGAGAAGACAGCTTCTCCATTTTTGTCCTCTTGAGCATAGCCCCATACATGGCTATGGCTGTTGAAGTCACCAATTACTACTGCCCTTTGGTGCCTGTCAAAGTTCTCGGGGGAGGAGAAGCAGAACTCTTCATTTGGGGGCTTGTACACAGAGGTGATGGTGATGTTATGTGCTCTTACTTACAAGAAGCACTGCCTGAATATCAATCAAAAAGTGGGAGTTGAAACAATATCATACAAAAGCTGACTGGCACAACCTGGGGATCACAACCAGACACAGTGAAGACATCTGCCCTTGCGCTATATTACTCCACTGCTGAGTATGCCGTGTGGAACACATCTCATCACGCTAAAACAGTGGATGTGGCTCTTAATGAGACATGCCACATTATTATGGGGTGTCTGCGCCCTACACCACTGGAGAAATTATACTGCTTAGCCTCTGTGTATGTCTGTATATGTTTATATGTCAAAAATTGGCATTGAATGTTTGCCATATATGTGTACACTGTAATCCGCCCTGAGTCCCCGGTGGGGTGAGAAGGGCGGAATATAAAAGCTGTAAATAAAAATAAATAAATAATACAAATAAATACTGTAAATAATAATAATAATAATAATAATAATAACAAACAACAACTTTATTTCTAACCTTCCCTCTCTCCCCAAAGGAACTCAGTTCTGTTAGTGGTTACGGTTTTGTTTTACATATTAAGAATCCTCTTATTGTTTTGTTTCTGCGGGTGAGATACTGTTTTTACATGTCTTTCTGTAGATGTTTCTGTTTGTATGCTTGTAGGTGTGTTTCTTCGAACAAAAATCAATGTTAAAAAAAGAAATTCAAGGATTCCTCTCTTGGCCCCAAACTGATATATACCAGCTGAACTCTATTCTTAGAGGCACAAAAGAAGCCCGCGAATCTGCTCTCGGTGTATGTTCATATGTTCAGCCACCGAAAATGGCACACCTCCTCTGAGATGCTGCCTCTCTGCCAGACAAAAGTATTTCCCTCCTCCTTCCTTCCTTTCTTCTTTCCTTCCTTTCCTCATCTCCCTTCTTTTCTTAGTGTACTTTACCAAATCACCTGCTCAGTGTCTAATCCATAGAATAAATGCGGCGGACGGCAGATGAGCAAATGGGTGTGCTCTTTAAAGAGAGTTAAAGTGGGGCGGCGGGGAGATGGAGAGACGAGAGTCACTATTGTGCCGCAATAGAAAAGGGCCCCTAATCACTCCATCAGTAATTACAAAGAAGAGTAAATCGCTAATTAAAATGTGAAAGTGTCTTGCGCGGCATGCAGTAAGAAAGGGTAATTAACAATCAAACGGGAATGCTGCACCTTGACACCCCGATGATGTGAGCGGCGATACAGGAAGGCGCACCAAGGTCTGGTTGAGAGCTTAGCACTTTCCATTCAAACCCATCTAAGGATGTCTTTTTCCGAAAACATTGAAAATGTGGTAGCATTGAGAATGGATGGGTTCAGAAGAGGGGAAAGAGCATCGTATTCACTGCCTGGCAACAGCAGCCAACTAAAAGTTGCAGGAAAGTAAACTCAAAGCTTGGACTGGAGGTGGTTTTCTCGATTTTGTTGCTATTGCATGCTGTAAATGGGGGTCTCCTGCTGAAAAACGGAACAGGAATCTTGCATTGGTTGCACAGATGACATAATTCCAATGCATTTTGGTGGAGTAGAGAATATATTATGGCAGTAGTTCTCAACCTGTGGATCTCCAGGTGTTTTGGTTCCAGCCCAGATTATCTATCCGAATGCATCTCTTCCTACGAACCCTCCAGGAACTTGAGATCGTCCGAGGAGGCCCTGCTCTTGATCCCGCCTGCTTTGCAGGTGGTGGCCCCTCGGCTGTGGAACTCCCTGCCTAGGGATATTAGATTAGCCCTCTCCCTCCTAACCTTTCAGAAAAGAGTAAAAACTTGGCTCCATGAGCAAGCATTTGGAACCTCGGAATAGAACACATTTCCTGCCATGAAAGGTTGCAGTCCAAGTTCTAAGTCCAGCTGCTAATCCAGTGTAAATATCGGCAACTGTGGCATTAACCTTTTATGGGAAATGAGAAGTGAGCCACTCCCTGCCTAATTATTGTTTTCTCTTTAGGGAACATAGGGGCATTTTCATAATATTTTGGTTCTTATTGAGACATTTTAGGCATTTTTCAACAAGGAAGCGAGCAGAAGTTACTTACTGTTTCAAAAAGGGCCTCTCCTGGCTTTAGATTGACCCGGGGAAGCCCAAAACATAGCGAAGATGATACCTACACCCCAAGAAAGCAGTTTGCACCAGGACTGTGGTGCAGCTGTCTAGGAGTCAGCTGCATTAAGATCACTACTGACCAAAAAGGTGATGAGTTCGAAACCGGCCCATGTCAGAGTGAGCTTCCGACCAATTTGTGTAGCTTTGCTGTCAAGCTTTGCAGCCCAAAAGACAGTTGCATCTGTCAAGTAGGAAATTTAGGTACCGCTTATGTGGGGAGGTTCATTTACAATGCCGTAAAAATCTCCAGCAAGCATGCAAAGAATAAGGAAGTACTTCATCAGTGTCACAAATAGACGGTGAAGCAACAGCTCCCCTGGTGGCCAGAATACCCTCATGAAAAAGCTGGAATGTTAAACAGCCTTTGTGTGTCTGTCTATATCTGTTGTGTGTCTATGGCATTGAAAGTTTGCCATGTATATGTACATTGTAATCCGCCCTGAGTCTCCTGCGGGGTGAGAAGGGCGGAATATAAATACTGTAAACAAATAGGTTTGGGGCATTTTTGCTTTCTAGTACCACACAAAGCAGCGCAAACTTATGAAGTCCACTTTGCTGACTCCTGAATTAATCAGATATACATTCAGCAATCTCTTCTGGTTGGGACTAGCAATAAGGTATGAATTCTCAATTGGCACTGAGAGTTATTGCCCAAAAAAGCAACTTTACCAGGCAACTTTTCCAGGGCCTTCTCGGTGGTGGCCCCTTGCCTATGGAACACACTCCCAAATGAGGTAAGATCTGTTCCCTCCCTCCTGGCTTTCAGAAAGAAATTAAAACCCTGGCTTTGGGATCAGGACTTAGGACAGTAGATGTTTGTAGAATTTAAAGGACATGGACTTGAATGACAATATGACTGGCGAGACTGTTTTTATTATTTATTGTTTTAATGATTGCTTATGTACTGTCTAATTATGATTTATGTTTAATTGTGGTTTTATTATTGTGGTTGTTATGGTTTGGCATCGCGTCAGTGTCCAATGTATGGCACTGAAGTTTTATCAGTTATGTGTAAACCTCTTTGAGTCCCCCGAGGGGTGAGAAAAGTGGTATAGAAATACTGCAAATAAATAAATAAATAAATAAATAAATAAATAGATTACAAAAAGTTACAATATCCCTTGAGGCATTGACCACCTCCACTGTGATCCCTTCCCATGTCGTATCTACACTTACTGCCTGTGCGTAGGCGCCATATGCTCCGAACTGGATCGCCATTGGGTTGAACATGCCCATCTGCCCGGCCATTTGTTGCATACGCCGCATTGTACGTTCCTTGTCCGTGTCTGCAAACTTGACCACCAGGCTCGATGAGGCTCCCTGTAGGAAGAAAAGAAGCCCACCAGTGAGTGCATTTGGTCAGTATCTGTGAGAAGGACTAAGCCATGGGCTTCACTGGCTGCCCAATGGAGGCAGATGCCCATCTTTCCAAATGTCACCCTATAGTTCTGAGTAGCAAAAAGGAAATCATGGGTTCGAACAGTGGCTCCCAACATTTTTTTGACCAGGGACCACTTGACCAGGGACCACTCAATCTTGCCAACCGTTTGAGTGCATGATTGAGGGCAACTGCATGATCTTCAGCCCAGTTCCCCTGTCCACTTAGTGATAAAAAAAAACACAATGTGATTACATGAATAGGAACTGTATTCAGCGGGGAGATATTTTAGGCATGGCATTTTGGAGGAAAGTTTACAAACAAAGAAAGCTTTTTGGCAAGGAGATGGAGTGACAGCACCCCCTGCGGCCAGAACCAAGCACAGCCTTCAAAGATGCCGAATGATGAGAAAAAGCAAATATATCTCTATCTGTTTTCTCTCTTGTCATAGTGTAATTGACATTGAATGTTTGCTGTATATGTGTTCTATGATCTGCCCTGAGTCCTCTTCGGTGTGAGAAGGGCAGAATTTAAGTACTGTAAATAAATAAATGGGTTACAGATGAGTTTTTGGTCAACTTTAGATTTGGTTTGGTTATTTGAGGTGCTGATTCAGAAAACTGCATTGGGTAGACCATGTCAGCTCTAATTACTGATACAAAACAAGGCTATCCCGTAGTCACCACCTGCTCACCCACAGAAAACCATATTTAATAATCTAGAGCTGATGTCATAGAAATAATCTTTCCAGGGTAGTCAGCCTCTCCCTTCCTGACGTACCCATTACTTCAGCACTATAAGAGGATTTCACAAGACCAGTCACTTTCGTTGTTGCATGGTTTTGAGACAAAGGTGTAGTATTGGTGAGGCTGTGGCCATATTGTCATTCTTGCGGAGCACTGGTGTCCCACGGACCACAGGCTGGGAGCCACTGGGTTAGAACATGGAGAATGGAGCCCATTCAGTTCCTTGATCCAGAGTGAAAGAGTGAATCTGGTCATTCTTTGCAGCATTTGTACTTTGGAAGTGAACCCCAACCATTCACATCCAAAACCAAGCTTGTAATGTGGATGTACCTGCATTTCCATATGGTTTCTGAAGTCAATATTGCACTGTTATCACAGTTTGGGATGGAACCGCTTTAGCAGCCCCTAACCAGCAGCTTGATATGTATACCAACATCTTCCCTAGTAATCAAGCATAAAGAGGTGCAAGATTAGCAAGGTAAGGAACTCAGTTTTTCCCCCAGCCATGCCATAGGTGTTTTGCAATAGGAGCCATATTCCCTGGATTAACTGCATTTTCAGAGAGGAAGTGGTTTCCATTGGTGACAAGACTCCCCCAAGCCATTCCCCCCATCTCTTTGACCTGTCACTCTTTCCCACTCGAATAAATCTATAACCCACTTGAACAATGCAGCAAGGAACAAGGGAGTGAAACAAATGATTTAGCTAAACAAAAGGAGAGAGAAAGACTGGAAGGGGGGGGAGGAATGGAGTTCACGAAGACAGGGCAGCACTGCGTATAGGTTATTAAGTGAGCGCAGCAAGGAGAGGGAAGAATTGTCTCCAGCCCCTCTTGATCAAGGTTTTTGATTCATGCCAGCAATGTATTTCCCTTAATTCCTCTCATCCAACCGCCCCCCCCACCCAAACCACATGGCACGGGTATTGATCCTTCCGCAAACAGCGCTCTTAATTACACTTCATTGACAAATGAATATTTTTAATGCATACATTTCCTGGTAATTATCACCAGACCAGGCCTTAATTAGATCTCAAGATTCGCTTAATTAATCCTGGACCGAGGAGGCTCTTTGGTCACCGGGATCTTACAGTTCTCCAGCTATTGGCAGAAATGTTTGAAGCGGAGAGTGTCTTCTGCAAAACCGGAGGCTGGAGCAGAGGTGTGTGCTGGAAAAGTGGACCGGAGTGCTTTCGTTCAATGCCAACACAGAATGATAAAACATTGCGGGTAGACACATGTGGTGACAAGGGATAACATGGATTTCAGTTAGTGCATCTGGGATGTTGGACTTGAAAGTTGTCATCACCACCATCATCATGTGTTTTGCATTTGCATTTTATGGATACAAATGAAAGTGATGTGCAAAGAAGGGGACATTGTATACATTTAATCATACTGAGACCCTCTCTACTTATTTTAGATAAAAAAACAAGTTCAATCCCTTTCGACCTCAATTAAGAGTCTATAAAGAGTGGAAAAAGAGATATCAAAATATGGAGCAGAAGGGGAGAAGCTAAATAAACATGTCTTGGGAGAAGGCCACGGAGAAGGCCCCATACCTAATAGATGCCAGAAGTATAGCTACTATGTGATATAGAAACAGGACTTAATGTATTGTTGAAGGCTTTCATGGCCAGAATCACTGGGTTGCGCCCTACACTACTGGACAAATTACACTGCTTAGCCGGTATTGCACCATCTGACATCCGCCGGGAAGTAGCAGCCAATAGTGAAAGGACCAAGGCAGAGACATCTCCAGCTCATCCCCTGTTTGGGTATCAGCCAGCACGTCAATGACTTAAATCTAGAAATAGTTTTCTAAGATCTACAGAGACACTCACTGGAACACCTCAGCAAGTGAGAGTCCAAAAGTGGCAGGCTCAAACCCAGAACCTCAACCAATGGCTGATACCAAAGGAGAGACTCCCCCTTGGGCACACAGAAGACTGGGCAACTTGGAAGGCGCTGAACAGACTGCGCTCTGGCACCACGAGATGCAGAGCCAACCTTCAGAAATGGGGCCACAAAGTGGAATCCTCGACATGCGAGTGTGGAGAAGAGCAAACCACTGACCACCTCCACACTCGCATGTCGAGGATTCCACTTTGTAGCCCCATTTCTGAAGGTTGGCTCTGCATCTCGTGGTGCTAGAGCGCAGTCTGTTCAGCGCCTTCCAAGTCGCCCAGTCCTCTGTGTGCCCAGCGGGGAGTCTCTCATTTGGTATCAGCCATTGGTTGAGGTTCTGGGTTTGAGCCTGCCACTTTTGGACTCTCGCTTGCTGAGGTGTTCCAGCGAGTGTCTCTGTAGATCTTAGAAAACTATGTCTAGATTTAAGTCGTTGACGTGCTGGCTGATACCCAAACAGGGGATGAGCTGGAGATGTCTCTGCCTTGGTCCTTTCACTATTGGCTGCTACTTCCCGGCTGCTACTTCTCACCCTTTGGGGTGAGAAGGGTGGAATTTAAATAAAGTGTTATTGTTATTGTTGTTGCTGTTGTTGTTGTTGTTGTTATTGTTGTTATTAACCAGCCTGCTGACACAGAAGGCATCGGGAGGAAACAGGACAGAATGATACTCATTTTTGGAGTGAATTGTTGCAAATATTGAAACAGGCAGATTTCTCTATTCTTTGCATAATTCCACTATAAGCAGTTTGGGTGTCAGGACAGCGATGCAGTTGCAATGCCAATATGAACTTTTGCATTGACTCCAAACAATCAAGTTCCGGGAATGAGGCTGAAGTCTCCTTTGGGGTATTTGCTTTTGTAAAAGGCCTGTTAAATGCAGAGCTTATCAAAACCAAATCCCTCTCAGCCTGGCAGGTTGGGCTCCTGCAACTCCCTTGCCTGCTCTCCAGAAGCCGGTAATAGATTGCTCCCTTTAGTCAGCCGAGCTCGGCGTTCGTGAGCCCGGGACCGGGAGGGGAGGATAAAAATGGAGGCACAATCGCCCCGGTGCTGTGGCTCACTTTGTAATCCCTAATGAGAGACCTCAGTGGGAAAAACTAATTTCCCAGCCTGTCTCGAGGTGTGAAATAAAGTTCTTCTTGAAAATGAGAGCTTGACAGGTCAGTGGTGAAATTTCATATTCACAGCAAAATAAAATATCCATCCATTGATATTTCATTAAAAGCCATGAAAACAAATCTGCCAGCCCCCCTGCGCTCTGCCTGATATTTAACCGCCCTCCCCAGCTGCAACTCTGCCAGAGTTCAGCCCTCTCTTCATAAAGGAAGCATCAACTTTGCATCAGGAAAAAAGACTGCAGTAGAATGGCTGGTCAATCTTATTCTCTTTAGGAGAGCCATCACACTTGGAAGGGAAAAGCCCATCAGAGAGCAACTGCATGACAAAGTCAAATACTATGACCAAGATCCTACATCTGAGTTGGATAGAGTAAAGCTTCACATTCAAAGTTGTGTATTTTTTTAGACAATGTGGGCCTTATGTTGCATACTGCACTGTGCTCCTGAATATGCCACCAAATGTGCAGCTGAACGTGGATGTAGAAGGATGAAGGAGCACCTCATGTGCATGTGTTCCTTCCTGAAGAGTGACACTGCATGCACAGCTCTGTTTCTGTAAAGATGGACTGAAATTGAATGTGATTTCCTGCTTCTTGGCAGAGGGTTGGACTAGATGGTCCACAAGGTCTCATAGAATCATAGAATCAAAGAGTTGGAAGAGACCTCATGGGCCATCCAGTCCAACCCCATTCTGCCAAGAAGCAGGAATATTGCATTCAAATCACCCTTGACAAATGGCCATCCAGCCTCTGTTTAAAAGCTTCCACCACACTCCGGAGCAGAGAGTTCCACTGCTGAACGGCTCTCACAGTCAGGAAGTTCTTCCTCATGTTCAGATGGAATCTCCTCTCTTGTAGTTTGAAGCCATTGTTCTGCATCCTAGTCTCCAGGGAAGCAGAAAACAAGCTTGCTCCCTCCTCCCTGTGGCTTCCTCTCACATATTTATACATGTCTCGAATATTTCCTCTCAGCCTTCTCTTCTTCAGGCTAAACATGCCCAGCTCCTTTAGCCACTCCTCATAGGGCTTGTTCTCCAGACCCTTGATCATTTTAGTTGCCCTTCCAGCTTGTCAATATCTTTCTTGAATTGTGGTGCCCAGAATTGGACACAATATTCCAGGTGTGGTCTAACCAAAGCGGAATAGAGGGGTAGCATGACTTCCCTGGACC